GTATATAAATGTATTATTGTTTTGGGATGATGTTTATGTTGTGACATTCCTGCCATGTTAGGTCTGCCTTCTTGACCCCTCACCTTTAACAACCCCCACCCCCCAGTGGGAGCACAATGGAAATAAGCTTTAGGGCTTTTGAGCGTCATCCTGATTTTCTTTAAATGTACTGCTCTGGCTTTGCTGTCGTCTATTATGAAGTACAAATATTTTCTTTTTATTACATGCATGCCAATAAAGCCAATTGAAATGACGCATGTGTTTGGCTGACATCCCATTGTGACGAAGTCGCTTATTACCTCACAAACAAACCTGTTTCACCGCCTAGGAGGAAGACCACATTCCCAGCAAGTTATACCATTGTATTTCACATAATATAGATATTTGTGGTTGGGAGTATTGCAACAGCAGAAACTCTACACTGCTATGCACTGCTACTACTCACAATCATGAGAGAAACAGGAAATGCCAGGCTAACGAACTACGGAACTATCATTACAATGTTATTTAGAGAACTCCCAGACAAACTCCAGTGTTGGAAGAAGTACTCACAAAGTACACAAGTATTCACTATCAGCTAAAAGTACTTGTTGCAGAAGAGATCTTTTCACAGTATTATCTTACTACGATATATTTTTTAGATTAGTAGTACAGTACTGAATTACACCATATATGCTTATCATGTGTTTATATATGTACAAATAAACTAGTAACTGTGAGCGTTCATATAAAATATAGTAAAACGTACAATATTTGCCACTGAAATGTAGTGGAATAGAAGTATAAAATAGCATGAATTGGAAATACTCAAGTACAAATATGTCAAAATAGTACTTAAGCTCAATACTTGAGTAAATGTACTTCCACCAATGCCAAACTCCATTCATAAATCTAAAGATAGTGCAATACAAGGACTTTAAAGCGTTTTTTTAGCATAATATAATTCATTTAGAGGCAGTTTTTAACTCGGCATAAGTCAGAAGCACAAACAACACCTAACTTTACAACTGGAGAACTTTTAAACACGGATTTCCAATGTTAACAATACCCCAAAGTTACAGCAAAATACAGCATGGTGGGCGGATTCCCGAGAGTCGCTCAGAGGCGAATGAAGCCTAAATAGAGCGAGTGTAGACTCAGAAAGTACCCGGATGTGGGCCCACAGAGCATGCGCAGTTGAGTTTTCCCTTAAGCCCCGCCTCTAATGTCTCTATCTCTGTCAGTCATATGAATTGAGAGGGAAAAATAACACTAGATTCAGCTTTTAGTGCATTTTACGACTTTTACAACCTAATGATTAAAACAAGGGCTGTAAAAGTGTTCGTGTAGGGTAGTTTATTTAGCTAAAAATAAATTACAGGCTGATTTACAGACATTTGATTTTGTGAAGTGTATATTCAATGTTTACATTTTGGGAGTTTGACAGACTGGACAATCATAATGTACACGGCCTTATACTCTGTGTATTTATATTGTGTATTCAATATATATGCTTTATAGATATATATCCTTCATTATTGATATGTTTATATTCACTGTTTAGCCTACTTAGTTTATCTTCTACTGCTGATATTGCTATTTAATTAACTTCTCTATCATGTGCAATGTCGAAGGAAACAAATCCCAAATTGGGCTCAATAAAGTATATTTAATGTTTAATTTTAAATATTATGTGCATGCTATTTATCTTATAGTGTATTATTTAGTGTCTATATCTTCACTTTTAGTGTTGCAATGTACATTTCCACGTTGTGGCACGATATATATATATATACACACACAATTCCACCTGTAACTATCACCTGGCTGCTATCACACACCTGTTACTGGTACTAGATGTGTATTTTGTAAATTGTGTAATTTCTACATTATTTTAAATATTTGTATGCATGCTTCTTAGTTAATATTAAGCTATCTTTGGCTCTTTACTTGCTATAACAATGTAAACTCGAATAAAGGTATTCTGCAAGTCAATATGGTAAAGAGTCCTTTTGGGCCCCATGACGTCACCGAAGCTGTAGTACCGCCGTTTGGCCGCTACGGACATTCCAAATATGGGCTTCAACGTCCAGCGTACTTCCTGGGGCTTTAACGAGTTAAATTATAACTAAAACTACCGGAGGATCTCTACGTTTTCCGCGGTGTGTAGCTACGCAGTGGGGGAAAGCAGCTAAATGTTAAAAAGTGATGTTTTTAACTGAAGTTCGGTGCTTCTGTTGTCCGTTAAGAGCGGCTAACTGAAGCTAACTGGAGCTAACGTTAAACACAGACTCACTATTCCCGAGATTTATGAGTTTAAACTAAACTTAACAAACTCCAAACAACCCAAAAATTTCACATTAGACTTGGGTTAACTTTACACACACAATAGTTTTTAAAAAATCCGAGAAAACTCACCCATTATCTCTCCGTTCAAATCTGATTCACTCACTCCGCTTGACATTGTCTCTCAAACTCCGCTCCAAAGAGGACTGGTAGTTTTAGAGTCAGATACGCACATTATTGGACGTAATGGGGATGTGATTGACGTACGTGCGTCAAAGTAAAAGGCGTAAACTCTCCTTCGAGACTACAGACTGTGATGTATCGCGAGATTTGCTTTAAACAAATATTACTTATTTTTGTAATTACACATATGTGAAAATCATATATTTGGTATACAAAAAAGTGTATACATATAAAATATTTTTAAAAAGTACATAAAGTAATTAAACAAAAGACAAAAGAAAAATACAGTTTGATATTTCAGTTTAAATATTTGTTAAATACACGATTCGTTTTGATTGCCTTTCTTTTCACAATGTTTTGTAATTGTGCTGATATATTATTCTTAGTGAAAATGTTCCAAATGTTGTTTGGAGTCAGCCCATTTCTTTTTAAGAGTATGACATTTCCCTAAAAATAAAATGTACTGTACAAAAAATAATAATATCACCTCTGAAGTCAAATGTCTTTATCCAAGAGTAGTAGTTTTTGTCCAGACAAATAGGATTTACCTGTACTTCTTCATACTACAGTTACTTACAATGTTAATAATTTAAATGAGGAATAACAACTTAATTCAACAGGTGGGTGTGAGGAATAAAGACTGGCAATTAACTCGGGAAAAATTAGAAGGTAAACACCGCCATCTAGAGGCCATAACGTAGAATGCAGTTTCCATTTTTATTTATTTTTTTCTTGGCTTTCTATGTGTAATTTTCTTCTATTATAATAATCAATTGTGTTGCATTGGTATATGTCATCCACGTAAGAGCTTTATAGAGTCAACACGTTCCCTATAAACTTAGATTAACTTTCACAAACTTAAAAAGAAATAGAACGAATTTAACCAAAATTATTTTTGTATTTATTATTATTATAATAAATACACAAAATGACCAACCAAAGTGAGACATGCAATGATGACAAGGAGACATTCAATGTCCATATAGAAACAAAGCAACTACGAAAAGACACTAAAAATGTCCACATAGACACTAAAAATGATCACATAGACACTCAAAATGACCACAAAGACACTTAAAATGTCCATATAGACACTCAAAATGACCATATAGACACTTAAAATGTCCACATAGACACTAAAAATGATCACATAGACACTCAAAATGACCACAAAGACACTTAAAATGATCACATAGACACTCAAAATGACCACAAAGACACTTAAAATGTCCATATAGACACTCAAAATGACCACATAGACACTCAAAATGACCACTAAGACACTTAAAATGTCCACATAGACACTAAAAATGATCACATAGACACTCAAAATGACCACAAAGACACTTAAAATGTCCATATAGACACTCAAAATGATCACATAGACACTAAAAATGTCCACATAGACACTAAAAATGACCACATAGACACTCAAAATGACCACAAAGACACTTAAAATGTCCACATAGACACTAAAAATGACCACATAGACACTCAAAATGACCACTAAGACACCCAAAATGACCACATAGACACTAAAACTGACCACAAAGACACTGAAAATGACCACATAGACACTAAAAATGACCCCAAAGACACTAAAAATGACCACATAGACACTCAAAATGACCACTAAGACACCCAAAATGACCACGTAGACACTGCAAATGACCACAAAGAACCTTAAAATGACAACAAAGACACAAAGAATTACGAATAACACACTTAAAATGACCACATAGACACTCCAAAGACACTTAAAATGACCACATAGACACTCACACTATAAATGACCACATAAACACAAAAAATGACCCCATAAACACTCAAAATGACCACATACAGTAGACACTCAAAATGACCACAAAGAACCTTAAAATGACAACAAAGACACACAACATTACGAAAAACACACTTAAAATTACCGCATAGACATTTGAAATGACCACAAAGACACTCAAAATGACCAAAAAGAGACTCAAAATGACCACAAATAAACTCAAAATGACCACATAGACACCTAAAATGGGCTTCTCTTCAGTATGTGTGTCTTGCTGCAATGTGCTTGTGTTGTTTGCATGTTGAAGCCCAGAGGCCAATTGTTTAAAAACCCAGATGTCCAAGATGTAAAGTGTAAAGAACAGTTTTTCACACAGTAAATCTGCAATGACATGGTGTGAGTAAAGTCCATGGATCCATCTTATAGCTGCTGGGCACAAGTGTCGTATTCACATGCAGAACACAAAGGAAAACCAAGGACACAAAGACAGAAAAAGACGTATCATAGAAAGACTTTGTTTATCTCCAGCTCACAGGGTCTAGTTTCTCTCAGAGAACATCCTACGCCTGGCTTCAGGAAAAATCAATGCAAAGAGAGTGAAGAGGAAGAGGAAGAGGAAGAGGAGGGTGTTGCAGTCTTTATATATAAAGTCTATGGTTGAAATCCTGCCAAGTTTGTCTTATACTGTATCTAGTCAGAATATGTCTTTCCACTTGAGGACCTTATTAGCTTAGATTAGCTTTTTATTAGCAACCCCCCACTTTAAATGTTC